ACCCACCTCGGCGCTCGGATCCGATACCAAAAAATGACAGACAACGGAGAAGTGGGGAAGATCGCCAGATGTCCATATGATCCGCGATCCCGCAGGCTTCGCTTGTGCTGCATCCCAAGCACGCCTTCGGCCGAAGGTCTTCAAGCACGCAAGGTCCAGCGACTGGAAGAGAAGCAAACCGCCGCCCTTTCTGAAATCAATGTCATGCATAATTCAAACATGCGCTGATTCGCACAGCGTGACATATAAGCGGTAAGTCCAATTGTGCGCCTGGCATGTGAAAACCTGGATGGAGCTAAGTCTCCGGCCATCAGTGTTCCGCCTGACACTATCCTGAGCAAGCGAAAAGGTAAAGAGCAGCAGAAAGATCTCGAGTCCAGCAAGGAGCCATCTGGGATGACATGCAAATCACTGCTCCGGGCTGTGGGCCATGGGCATGCTCAGCCCCAGCCATTCGAGCTTCTTCCCCTGGCCAAGCGGGTCTTGCTGCATGTTGCTGGCATCACCAAGCAAACTGCGCAGCTCAGGAGGTGCATCTTGCAACGAACCAGACACCGGTAGCCGAAACAGACATGGCTGATACCGCCAGCGTAGCTCCGACAACAGAATCTCTCTCAATCATTTGCATGCGGTCTAGCAGGGCGCGCCCTGGCAGAGCTCTCGGCTGAGCCTCGGGCGGCGAATGCAAACCTCTATCATATCCCGTTGAACTTCAAAGTCCAGATTGCGCCAAAGACGTCAGCATGACAGCAGAATTATCCCTGCCCTGTTCTGTTCTTGGCTCTGTGGCCTTGCGTAGCTTCCTGAACAGCCTTGGATGTTCGACCTTTTCCGAGCCACATGAGCACTGGTCTGCTTGCTCTCCCGACTCCCCCTGAAACCGCTCGCTCCAAAGAGGTTGGGCGCTGGGATATGAACCTGTGATGTCAAGACTCAATGCAAGCTAGGTCAGAGTAACTTGCACTGTTGGTTCCCCTCGACTAGTTGCGGCTGGGATGGGCGACATTGCTGATAGCAGAGTTGCAAACTGTTGGGAAGGTGCATGTTCTGGTGGGTGTTGCCTGCATTATCTGGGCTTCGGACGCGGCACTGATGTCTTTGGCCTCGCCATCGCGAGCTTGGGGCCGGGAAGCGGCCTGAGTATTGGGGATGAGTAGCTGCATCGAAGACATGACCGATGGATTTGACATGGCAGTTGCTGGGAAGAGGTATGACAGACAAACGACAGCCACTTCACACAGCGGGTCGAAGTGCGCGGCTTGTTGTGGCTGCCGGAGCTCGACAATGGCTTTTGAGGGCCTGCGTACCAAAACAAGCGTCCGCAAACGGGTGGAAGCAGTGTATTGGATGCCCGACATGCAAAGGCCAAGGGATTACCCGAGAGTTAGAAAACAAGTTGTTGAAGGGATCTTGTGATCGACATACCGGAAGCAGATCGGCAATTACCGAAAGTCGTTGTGGCACTTTGCCACATGCGTTTACCATATTCTCTTTCTGACAAACTACTACGTGCTGCCACCTTTCACATCGTTGCAGTCAAGCCGGAACTAACCTTGACCCCTCTTTCTCTGTCAACACTCTTTCTCTAAACTTCTTAATTTAGCCGACCGTGACAAAGTACCCAACAGAGGCTCGTTCCAGCGAGTGTTCGAAGATGCACCTGGCCTCCAGGACGCCACGGTGGCTGCTCTCGTGTTGGTCGCCGGGGCCTGTGCAAACATACTCGTGCGCAAAAGCAAGCGGAACTCAAGATCACAGTCGACTCTGTCGCGTCCACGCAAAAAACCCAAGTGCTTGTGCCTGACATCGGGCGACTTTGCAGGAGATCGTACAGGGTTCCGCGTCTGCCGCACCTTCAGAAACCAGCGGGTTGTGTTCAAGCACACCCGCAAAGACATGGAAAAACTAAAGGGCAATAGTCAGCCCATAAGTGCGGCCCTTCGGTACTTTTGCCGTGCTTGACACTTCGCATATGTGAAATATGTACACTGCGACTTGAGGATTGTTGCCGGCGCAGCATATGTGCAGCCAGGCAAGTCACGACGAAGGAGAGAAACTGTACAGTCGCAAAAGTAAGGTGAGACCCACAACACGTGTTACCAAACCAACGCTGTAGAGCATCTAAGCTAAGGCCGGACTCATCTCTGCGACCAAACCATCAACCGAGTCCATGATGATTCGGTCCAGCGTCTGCATCGACGGAGCCTTGATCTTCAAGCTGGCTGAGCTCTCCTTGAAGGATGACGGGCTTCTCTTTGAAATCTTCACCTCGAGACTTGCACTAGGTGCATTATCTTCGAGATCATCCTGTTCTTGACGGTCCCGGGTCTGGACTATCCTCTGACCCCAGCGCAAGGGCTGAGCACGGGCATTCTTGGCCAGGCGGGAGTCCAGCCATGACTCGCTTGGGAATGTGCTTCCTGAGTCAGGTTGGCGAACTGCAGGATCTGATCCCGTTGCAGTTTGTGGCATCCGAACTTCGATGCAGCCACCCTTCTGCACTGTCCAGACTGCACCAGATCGTGCTTGGCTCGCTTGCGGCTGGGCTTCTGGAGCTAGCGCTGCTACAGTATCCACACACCTCGTCTGACTCGGTGATGGCCGCGGCGGACTTAGGGACTTCTTGCCTCCCGGGCCTTCTGTCGGCTTTCGGAGGTGGACGTAGCGACCATCTGCTGCAAAGACAGTCGTTACACGGAACTTCTCTGCACCAGACGTGTCGTCCCCATCCGTGAGAGCTCTTTTGGCAGGAAGAGGTCGAAAGGTTCCGTCGCCACCAACGACGATGGTGCCCGACGGGCCAAGGCCGGCAACCTGCCCCCCATGAACACTCATGCTCATGCTTCTGATACAAGTTGGCTGCGGTGGGACGAGAAAAGACCCGAAGCAAACCAACCTCGCAAAACATGTCGGAATCCCGAATGTAACGGACTGCGACGCGGCGAGCAGCTAGCCTGATACATCAATGACAGCAGAGCAAAACACGAAAGCTTTGCACTTCTGGCGGCCAAACTTCTACTTATGGGGCTTGGATTCCGCAGACCCGTCAATTCAATAGTTTCGCACAGCCACCTGGTGCTGATATGCCAGACTCTAGTTGGCGGTGGGATGTAGGCCAAAGGGGGATGGGCGGCTGGGACTTCGGTTCGCGCTGCCAGGCCTTCGCTGCAGGGGCTCCCTGTTGTCTCAGCCGGGCAACTTTGAAGTCCCATCTAAAGGAAAAGCTCCAAGGATCAGAGCTTTGAGTCAAAGCTCCACTTCGCACGATTTCAACAAAAGAAATGTCTTGCAATCTGCTGGCAGTGTTTAACGGGAGCTTCCACTGCGCACATGCGCCTGCGACTGTGGAACTGGGGCATTCCTTTTTTGCAGCTTTCTACCTGTGCCCCGTGTCAGTTTAAGCCAGCCACCTGAATCTCGGAACACGGAACATCTATACTTTCAGGCACCTTCCCTCTGACACGGCTCGGCGTTCCGCAGCTGGAGGCCCGTAGGTGCCTCGACGACTGGTTGCTGTGGTTTACTATTGAAGAGAGCTGGCGCTTGTGTAAACCAGAAGGCGCGAACAGGCTTAGGCTTGCAATCGAGCTGCGTCTTCGGCACCTCGCCTGCTTTCGGCGCGCTGCGTCCTTGCTCAGATGCGGACATTATCCACAGGTGATATCCCGAACGGAGCTGCGCACTGCGCTGCGCAAGCATATGTCTGCCAGATTCTGCCAGGCCGATGGTTGCAAGACTGCAATCCAGCTATTCTCTGGCCCAGCGACCGGCGAGCAAAGGTGACAAATGGGCTGCCGGAAGATGCCTCCTGGGCGGAAAGCCAGTACTTTCGTGTGCAGATAACTTAACCCGCACATCATTCGCCATGAAAGCGTGGGAATGCCCAGCTGCCTCCTGGTGTTTACATGCGTGTTTGAATGTCTTTTGTCTGACACTGCATGTCTCTCACACACACACGCACACACACTCGATCAGCATTAGCCTCAGGCACTTCCTCTGCAAAGGGCTTTTCTGATGGTATGACTCTAATTCTAATTAATTAGCAGGCCGGCGGCTGCCGAGTCCAAGACCTTGTAGGTTCCTCTGTAAGCGACCGAAGCCGATTTTCGAGGTACCGGGCCTCATGCAGGTCAATCGGCAAATGCTTAATTACGCCAAGCCCTGCTATTCGGCGTGGCATCTCACAGCAAACCGGCGTAGTGTATCAACGGCCTCCACGAAGCTTCAGCAATTGCATATCCATGCATGGGATGTTTGCTTAGCCCTCGACCCATGCGCGGCTCCGCTTGTCATTCAAGGGTGGGAGCGATGCAAATGGCGCAATGTACATCGAGGTTTCCATGGCCAAGCCCAGCCACGGTGACAGATCAGAAGTCTGCTGCCAAGGTCAGGTCGAGTCTGGTGGGTCTGGAAGCCTGCCTTCAGCGGTTGCCGTGGCAGGGCTAAGCCCGGGCTCTCTCTGGTCGAAAAGCCGGTGCAGACTCCACTTCTGTAGTGGTCATTGGAGCCGCCAGTGCATTTTGGACATGCAGGCTTATCATCCTGATCCCACAAAGACAGTGGTGCTGCGTAGGGTGACAGACAATGCACTGGCAATCCAAGTCCTCGCTGAGATTCGAGGGTGAAACACTGAAGGCACTCTTCAAATCATCGGGTTCTCACAGACTACACCCTGCGACGTTCACAAGGTCCTTGGTCTGTGTACATCTTCATACTGCTGTGGGGCTGATGTGTCAAAACCTACTAGTATCTGGTCAACTCGTGCCTACCCAGATTTTGAGCCGACAGGCAGCACACAGCAGCATGAGCTCAACATGATTCGCGTGTAGTACATGAAACTGAACTGTCCTCGTGCCGCAGTTGTTGAGAGTGCTTTTCGAAAGCCCTGGTACATGCATGTTATCTGCTTGCTGTTTGTGGGCACGCAAGGCCGACTTAAGTGTTCAACGGTGAAGTTCAACGTACGTCCGAATATGCTAGGAGCACCTGAGCTGCCAGACAAAGTCTTCATCACAAGGCTCTGTCTCCAACGTGCTCACCGACCAACACGAGTCCTGGTGAAGCTCTCGACAAGTCTCTAGGAGTTCTACTGGGAGGCCGTCAGAGTAGAAGTCTTGACTAAACCATATACTAGACCCCAACGCTCCCCCATGACAGTCCGGAAATAGTCCTTTGATGTGCTCCCGAGTGACCTTGGTCTTTCATACAAATGTTGAGCAACCCGCGAGCTCCAAAGCATCTTGGAGCTCGGCACTGAACGGGGGCGGATTGATGCGGTTGCCTATGCCGACACAGACGTCTGAACGTGCCACAGCTTTTTCCCCCAGCAAAGCCAAACAGATCAACCAGCAGGCAGCACGCGCATATGGGAGCTTGTCCTGGTCGTACTGAACAACCTGAGCTGAGTGATGGAGGCTGCTTTCGAAGTGCTCGGAAGCCGTAGAATCCGAAGAATCGACGAACAACAGCTTTACCGCGATCGTCTGCATGCGATCTCAGGAGGTGGCTACCAGGAGGATCCTTCCACCTGCGACAAAAAAAGAACCGACTTCTGACTTCCGAACTTCTGGTGCATACCAGCAGGAACGATGACGAAACCTGAACCTGCCGTACCCTCCCAGCCTACTCGCAGCAACGACGACAACCCGGCTGCGTACCTCAATTGAACTCGATACATGATATGCATTCCTATACTGATCATCGATGCTGGGACTGCATGTTTCCGCGAAACTTGGAACCCAAGGCCCTGGACCACCGACGAGGTGAAGACACGCCAAGTCGTCATCGCGGCAATATGATTCCAACGGTGTAAGGTTCCTGCTGTTTCCAGCTGTCTGGTGGAAGCGAGACCTGGCATCATTGTTTAACTACCCGGCCTAAGCACAAACTCGCATGCCACGAAATCTGCTCCAGTGCCAAGCCGCCAAAGCATCGCAATCGTAAACGAGGTCAAACCTGCACCTGACAAAGAAAGGGCTAAGTCTCCCTGCTTCATGTAAATCGGCATGGAAAAACGCCTGCCATCCGTCACAAACGTGGAAGCCGCAACCAGTTCCGGTGTGACCTCCAACCTTGCAGGCACGAAGTCTGCCCCCCGTCAGCAATACAAAACAGTTGTTTCTACACCAAATTTATTGGGGAGCGTCGGACAAGCCAAAGGGCCTGAAATTTCTTGGCTGCGCTGCACATCATGTTCTATAGCAGCATTATATGCAAGGCTCTGGCATGTCGCCCTCGATGAGGTGCAACGGAACGTGCCTTCTGCCCAGGTTCACCTGTCATGACATTCTGTCCAACTGGCAACTATACTATACCTCGTGGTATATGCCTTGATCGCAAGCCCTCCTGAGGCATGCTGCGCGCCATGCAACAATTAGCTTGCCACACCATACGCATGGGCACCGTTGCAGCCTTGCCACGCCACACAGCTGGACGCTCCGAATAGTAACCGAGCCTCGGCTGCAAAAATAAGTCTCTCTTCCTGCGCTTCAGCACCTTCGATGCACTTCTATTCTGATGTCGCCTTCCGGCCAAATGTCCCAGTCCCAGGCCCTTGGTCGCCTGTCTTGAAGGACTGGCCAGACCTGTCTGGAAGACAGCTGTGCTCGGCCAGCTGTTGTAGCTGCCAGAATGCAATAGAACTGGAGTTACCTATTAAGCTCCTACCTGTGATGTGCAACAGTGAAAGCCTCTCATGCAAGCGAAGGCGGCACCTCGCTCCTGCGAACTGCGAGGCAGGATGGAACGTTGTCCCTTCCCGCCATCCTGAACGTAAAAGCCATCTGAGATCCCAAGTTTGGCGCGGACAGATCGCAAGGAAAGACTGGATGCAGAAGTGGCGCCCCGGTGAATGAGACCCCAGCCTTGCTCATCTTTTGCAAAAGGGAGCTTGGATTTCATGCCCTTGACCTGGAGCTATCGATGCTGATGTTGCTCTTGTGGCGGCATAGTCTGAGACTAGGGCTCGTATTTGGTGCTCTGCTTTGAATTCAAGGATGGCCCTCGGAATGCCCTGAGACGCCACGGATGCGTTTCAGCACTGACCATGATGTCTTCACGACCCTACCCTGCTGGCTGGCTACTCTTCGAACAGACTTACAGCCAGCCCGTGCGAATCCAAATGCCACCTGACTCGCCATGGCACGACAATCACCCGGGGCCTGTGGACCCTGTAAAGCGAGCCTCGACTCCCACGACACCGAAGCCGAGCTCACACAAGTACGGCCTGGAAGGGTCGGATTCGGTGTCTCTCCTCATGCCGTGGAAGGAGAACCTACACTTAATGAACTTAATGCAATTGCAGGGATCCCGGCATGTCCACAGACTTTCCGCAGAGCGGCACCAGCACCTTCCGCAAGGGACCGGCCTGCGGCACATCGAAGGGAAGACTCTTGCAAATTGAATTCTGTTGAATCATGCTGAATCACTACGCCGCAAAGACGGCCTTCGTCTCATCGGGAAACATTCCCTTGGACCTTGGGTGCAGGCGGGGCAGGAGCCTCGAGACTTATCCAGTTTTACGGTTCCTACTGGGGGTCTGGTTCTGACTCGCGCCGTGAACCGAAGATGGAGCGAAGGAGCAAGCCTCCCTGCATCTCTCTGTAAAGTTGAAAGGGGCTGCTACGACTGCTACGAGTATTGGCTTCCAGGCTACGAGCTCTAGCACGTGTCGGGCTTCCAGACCTGTGCTTACAAACTTTGGCACCCAGAGGTTCGGAGTCGGAGTCACCTGTGCCACGACAAACTCTCTGCAAGACGAGCGGTTTGGGGAGACTCAGACGGATGAAACTCTTGCTGGAAAAGCTGGCGCGACTGTGCTTCTTGGACCAAGCGATGTCTGAACTCTCTGATCGGGCCTTCTTCTAGCCCAGAGATGCATGCCTCTGAGGCTTCGTCCATTGCGCCAGGTGCTTCTCCAGGTGCGAAGACACCTCGCGAGGCCAGGCCGGAGGGAGGGGACGGGGGGGTCCAGCAGGCGAGGCAGGGCAAAGCGGAGTTCAAGAGAGACCACGCGCTCTCCGCTCTTTATTTACCCGATTTGGGCAGCCAGCCTCGGTGTGGTGAAAGCTCGGCGAGCTGCCTCTCTCTCTCTGTCGCTCTCTGATCAAGCATCTGACAGAGCTTAGTTGGATTTCGATGAGGCGGGCTGAATGATGTTGAGTCACTTCGGAACCGGACCGCGTCATCAGATGACATTGAGCGAAGCAAGCCAAACAGGGCTAGGTTGGGTTCAATGCAGCACGCACGTCCTAACTTCCTCTATTACCGCGAACCGCTGGAACTTGGCCTGAAGGGAGGTTCCAGTACACCTGTGACCACCTGGCCAAGCAGCACTGTCTTAAAAAAAGTGGGGCCTCCGTATTACGGGACTGGCGAGTCGAACGCACTGCTTCCAACAGCCTCAAAAACAGTGAATACCTACCAGGAGCCTCTTGAGTCGATCAACCCCGCCATCAGGCGCAGGCTCGAAGTAGCAGTTCGCTGAACTCCTTTGGACAGGACGCTGGTCGATGCGAGCTCCTTTGTTACCAGACGTGTTCTAGCGAGTCGGCACAATCACCATACTGCCATACTGGGTGTGTTTGCTCGAAAACGGTCTGCGAGCGTCCGCCTCGCATCCTTTGCAGTGGCCATGGCCTGCTTGGGGCCAGGATTTGCCAAGCTTCCGCAAGTCACATGACAAATCTTGAACGCCACATAACGCTACAGCGCAGCTTACTGGCCGTGCCAAAGAAGCTAACAGAAAACGTGCCAAAATAACTTGCTTGTGTCATACTGCATAACTCGGCAATACTCTTGGTAAATCCGGCAGGGGCAGGCCACGGCGCCAGCACCCGCTGCAGCGCACAACAGCGCCCAGCTGGCCTACTACAGAGTCTACTCTGTGGTAAATGGACAAGGTGTAACAGGACTTCTGGCGGGCACACTGCCTGTCCCACCACTGCACTGGAACGGCATTGTACTGCTGACCGGACACCTCGCCGTCACTCTGCGAGGAAGAAGCGCCGGCATGGACGACGCTCCTGACAATGCTGATCTCAAAACGCCGCTTGAATGCAAGGTCTCTCTACCCCGAATCTCTGAAATCCTGCCACCCGATCGAGAGAGTGCGTTACACGGGCGAGGCATAGCACCAGAGTTTTGCAAAGCTCGCATCAGCGCGATGCCTCTGCCACGGGACAGCTCTGCTCTGCAGAGGTGCTCCTGGCCCAAAGCAATGCCAGCAAATGCCTGATGCCGAAACAGTTCGGTGGACGGGATTTAGGAGCGGAGCTGTCAGAATCGAGGCGGCCGGAGTCCACGTGGTCTCGCTCTGCATCACTTGGCTGTTTGAGCTGGGCGCTCCCGCCTCGAGGGCGGCATGCCTCAGAGGAAAACAGGACCACAGCCCAGTGAAATAATGCCTGACTCCTTGGCAAGGGGCGCTCTGCGAAATGAGCAAGCGCAGCCTTTGGTGCAGGGACACGGTCCACCTCCGAAGGCAATCTTGGCGATCTCTGAGGGTGGTTTCTATGCTTTTGCCCATCAGCCCTCCTCAAGGCCTACGAAACACACGTGCGTGGCGAACCAGACTCTGAAGCCTGCGGGCGGCCATTGCGAAAGCCTGGAGTTTGCGTCGCAATGCATTCATCAGAGCTTCCTAACCGAAAGTGTCCACTGCAACAGGGCATGCTACCCATGATTATGTCAATGCTTCCTGCCACGATGCGCGAGCGATGCACACGCAACCGGGGTCAGAAGCCCGGCCGAAACAAATAATAGCTCGCACCGACCTTTGCAGTGAACAGCCTTCACAACAGGACTTCGTCCCTGCTGCGTGCGCTGCCAAGCTTGGGTTCTCAAAACCCGAGCTCTCGCGAGCATGACCACTTTAAACTGAATAAGTAACTGGCTTTGCTGGCATCCCTCTGCAGGTTATGATGTCATTCATCCAAATGCTGCAGCAGAGGCCTGGCCATCTATACGCTCGAAGCAAACGCTGGCAGAACTTCAATCTGCCTTCAGTTTGCTGCAAAGGTTGGACTCTCCGCCGGGCTCTCCGAGTGAATCATCTGCGTCGGCTTTCGCGCGTTCGCAAAGGAGGAAAAAGACTGTGCTTGTCTTCGCATCCCGGAGGCTTCATGAAAATGCAGGCTCACAGGCACAAGGGCTTTCTTTTCCTCTCCGAGTAGGAATCCGTGGCCCTCCAAAAACCGCAAAGCCCGGGTGTTCTCACAAAGAACATCGGCTTTGATGCAAGATGCCCCTTCTTCGTTTGCCACAGCGATGAGCTGCTTCAGCCTTAGCTAGCAGTGCTCGCAGAGAACTCACTCCTGCTCACAGGGGCTCTGCGATGGGCACCGATCAAGCATCAAGTATTCGTACAGTGCATGTTGAGAGGCATTAGGGAGCCCAAGCTCTTCCTCCGGAAACTTGGAAGCACTTGCAACGCGAAGGTCACATCGTTGCTCATCTGCTCCCTGCTGATGCGGCCGGCTCCGACGATCATCTTTTCTCCATCCTGAACCACCTGTAGTCACTTGCAGTTGGTGAGTCCAGGACACTTCTCAATGAATGCTTTTACGGTGGCCCTCGTTCCTTGCTTTGATTTTATTCATCAGGCTGGTATGACACTAGCTGCCCAGCCTCCGCAACCAAGACGATCGATCGGTCAAAGTCTACGAAGCAGGTCCGGATGAGGTGAGTACGGCTTAAGCTGCATGTCATCTGTTCCTGGCATGACATAGCTGAGGCGCAGCAAAGTAGCATTGGCGCAACGGCTAAAGGCCACTCTCGCAGCAACCGCCCATCCGTGCTACTTGCACATACTCTTCGAATTCATCTTCACTCCCGATCTTGGCGTGCCTCATCCTTCGGCATGGACGTGGGGTCGCAGCCGCTTGGCCAGGAGGCTGCACCGTAGAAGAAAAGCATCATTCCCTCGTCCTGGCTGGGGCGCTTAATAGCGAGAATCGGAAGGTGCTAGACGGACATGCTGCTAGAATCCATCCGCGTGTGTAGTATTGTGTAGTCGAGCTAAGCTGGGAGATGAGGCATCATGTCCGCGCAATCATCAGAACTTAGAACGCCAAAGTCCCCTCAGTGACACCGCGACACAGGGAACCAAATTCCTCTGGCAAGATCGGTCGGATCGTGGCCTCAGTCAGCAAAGTGTGATTCTGTAGTACACTTGACTTAGAGACTTACAAACAAGAGAGCTGCTTGTTGGACGAGTGACTGACATCTCGTCCGTGAGGCCAACGATCTGAACATACTGATGTGGATAAGGCCGGATGGCCGGTTGGGGCCAGTCCTCCGGTGCAGTTTTCGGGTCGTGGAGCACCACACGGGCATCCAGGGAAAGAATGGAATCCTCAGATGCGATGAGAGGGTTGATGTCGCATTCCAAGATTTCTGGGAGGTCGACGATAAGCACAGAGAAGCGGACCATGATCTGGATCAGGGCCTCGATATTCACGCTCTTCATACCTCGAACTCCAAGCAATGCCTTATAGAGCTTCGTCTCTTCCAGCATCTTCCGAGCCAGATTGGCATTCAGTGGAGGCAGCCCGACGGCTGAGTCTTTGAAGACTTCCACCAGAGAACCACCCATTCCAAAGAGGAGAACCGGCCCGAGCTGTGGATCGATGGACGACCCGAGAATGATCTCATAGCCTGCAAAACTGCTCAAGCTTCTTTCGATCCTTATGGTTTTATCGTCCCTCATTTCGCGCACAACTTATCTTCACCGGCAGCCATCATTCTTGCAGATCTCTGTAACTCTCTTCGGCCCATGACACAACGTGGAGAAACCGCGCCTTTCAAGGAGATCATAGGTTGAATCGTGACACCCTCAAAGCCTTCCGGAGAGGCCAGTCTGGAAACACTCTCCTTCATCTCCAAGAACGACTTTTCCACAGCCATTTTGCTGTGTAGATTCAAGACGACACCTCCAACCTTGGCTGCGGAGGGTCTTATCGTCATCGACTTACAGATAGTCGGCAGTTGCGGTGACGGGCTGGGAGCCACTTGTGGTGGAAAGCACCTGCACTCAGGCTGGCACATCAGTCTTGTGCGTGATGGTGGTGGAGTTGAGCTTCCTTTGTGAAGTCTCGTGCGCGCACACACGACATTGCATGCAAAAAGCCAACGTGGCTTCTGGCAAACCAAGCGTCATTACCACCGGGAAGCCGATCTTTTCTGCCGCAGCCACGGCTTCATCAGGGCTAGATGCTAATTCGCACGCGGTGACCTGGACAATCAGCAGCTGCACAATTCTGCTTGGCTTGTGCGTCTTTGTTGAAACGATGCCTTCAACAGCTCGTGTGTTTCGAATCACACACTCGCACCAGGCAGGCATGGCTTCAATGTGTCCGAGCTTGGTCGTGTGTCTAGGGGGTGCGAGCGTGGAATCTCGACGGTTCGCCAGATGAAGCTTGCTCTAACTCCTTCTTGTTCGGTCAAGGTCCCATGCACTCTCCTTCCGAAGACACAGCAGTCTTCTATGACGAGCCGAAGTTGAAGATTCCGAGCTCGTCTTGGTTCTTTTAATTTCACGCCCGGCCAAGACACTGGGATGTCATAAGCCTTGAGAAGCAGCTTGCTTTCCTGAGTTCATGGTTGACTGTTGAGGTTCCCTCTCTTGCTACTAGGGTCAGAGCCTGGATGTCCGAAATCCTACGCAGCACGGACCCCGAAAAAAAGGTACTTCGTTGCCACCCAGCTTCTGCTTCCGTCAGCAATGACCGCCCAGAGGCCCGGACTTTGGAGATCAGCTGACGTGCTTCTGCCTTGCCCTGCTCAGTCTGTTGGCGCGTGTTATGCTGGCTGCTACACCAAGACAAGATCTCAACTCACTGCGGCCTGCGTTTGTCCGTACCAAGGTGTTTACATACATTGCTTGGAAGAGTCTGAGAAAAAAGAGTGTAGAGACAGACCTATGGTATCCTATGGTCTAAACACAAAAAATGCAGCCGTGGGACCTGCACCTTCTCTAAATCCATCTTCAAGTCGATGCGCTCGTAGTTGCTACCCAGGTTGCTTTGATACTGGTGCATGTAGTTAAAAGTCTTGCAGGCCATGTCCGGGTAGGAGTACGTCGGAATTCCTGCATCGTTCAGGACCTTCGCACCAGGAGCAACATCCGGGCCGCCCATCCAGCTTGCAAGCACCGGCTTTCCTTGTATTTTGGCATAGCGTGACAATGCTTCCGCACACTCAGTTGGTGCTGTCATGGCCTGAGGCGTCAAGATCACCAGGAAGCCATCACAGTTGGGATCACGGGCAACGATCTCCAAGCTGTCAGCATAGTGCTTGGCCGACGCATCTCCCAAAACATCGATGGGATTCCCATGGCTCCAGGCAGGCGGGAGAACTTGACTCAAAGATGTGATGGTCTCCCGAGACAACTCGGCTAGGCTGCCTCCGTGCAGTGCCAGAGCATCGCATGCCAGGACACCCGGCCCACCAGCATTGGTCAAAATGGCCAGCCGATTGCCGTTGGGCAGAGGCTGCTTGGACAAGACATCTGCCTAAGCAAGCGAGGCGTTCGGTGCAGGAAGCATGCGCAACTCAAGAGAAGTAAAAGGGCGTAGGCTTGGAAGGTGATTATTCAAGCGCAAACGGAGAAATCGCTCAGACCTGAGGAGGTGGGGCTTCCCTCCCGGGTATTTGTGCAATGCAGCGCAGGCACCATCTCGAAGAGATCTGACATGTTCTCGACACGCAGCACGCCAGCTCGCTTGAAGGCTGCATCAAGCACTGCGTCGCTCCCAGTCAGGCTACCTGTGTGGGATGCTGCAGCTTTGGCGGCTGCATCCGTGCGGCCACCCTTGATTACTATAATGGGCTTGGTCAGTGCTGCCTCTCGTGCAGCAGACAGGAAGCTTCGGGCATTGCCAATCGACTCCATGTAAAGAACGATGCTCTTCGTTGCCGGATCTTTGGCGAGATAGAAGATCATGCTGCTAAAATCCATGTCCAGCATGGACCCGATGCTGATGACAGCGCTGAAACCAACCTTCTGTGAAACGCTCCAGTCCAGCACCGAGGTGATCATCGCACCACTCTGACTGATAAATGCAACGCTCCCCTTCTGCGGCATCAAATTTGCGAAGGATGCATTCAGACCCGAGGTGGGACAAATGATGCCTAGGCAATTTGGTCCCACTATTCGCAGATTGCCCGTTTGGGCAATGGCCTTCACTTCGTTCTCTAACCTTGGCGCAAGGACAGGTCCATGGCATGTCAGGCCCGATCTCGCGATAAAACTGGTGTAAACCGTTTGTGCTCCTGCAGGCCAGGGCGCTTCTCTCCCTCTGGCCCAACCTCCTTGAAACCGGCCGAAATAATGATCACATTTCGTACCTGCAGAGCCAGGAAAACAAAGCGGCTTCAGGCTTGAGACCTTGTCCGCAAAAAAAACAGGTGCCTTGTTCTCCACGCATTCCTTGACTACAGCAGGCACAGTTGACGCCGGCGTGATGACCACAGCCAAATCAATCTGGCCAGGACAGGCAGCGATGGACTTGAAGGAAGAGATGCCCAAGACGTGCTCCCTCTTTGGGTTCACAGGGTAGACAACACCCCCGAAGGGGTTGCTGATGAGGTTCCGAAGCAGAGTGCGCCCAACGCTGCCCTCACGGTCCGTTGCACCGATCACAGCCACACGCTTGGGCTTGAAAAGAGAGTCCAACGGATGGCTACCCTCCTCCAGAACGTCCACGACCGGATCTAGAAGTGCTGCCATGGTGGAACCCAGGAACGCTCCCGTCTTCAAATGGACGGAGGTTACTAACTTTGCTCGATAGAAAACGTCTGCTAGTAGTCACCCTCGCACTGCTGCACTGCGCTTGGTCTTGGTAATCCTGCCGCAATGTTCAGAAGCTGGGATGCCGGCGTCACTGCTCAAAGGCGGAGTCAGAGTCCCAGCCCTGCATGAGCCCAGAGAGGGAACGGTCGCACGTTTCCTTGCAAGACGCCGACCACTCCTTAGTTGTGCCGATTGTCGGACAGCTCCCCATCGTGGCAGTAGGTCTTGGCTACGTCTCTGCGGATGTCTCGGCGACTCTTATGGGAAGGTGTGGAGATCTTATCCTGGCTATGCATCCACAGCGTGCGATTCACTTTTTGCGGCTTCGGTCAGTAGAGCGAGAGCTCATCCAGCACCTCGATGCAATTGCTGACCCACACCTCGGGACAGCTCCAGACCTCTCCTAACCTCTCCCTCAACTTGCGATGCAGAGCCAAGCCCGCGACTGCGACTTGGCTATTCTTTGAACCTGCCGGAAGATCACAGGATTATGCAGACCCCGTTTCTGACAGCTCGGACTGTGGCAGGCAACAGGCCCTTCAGAAATCGAATCGTTTTGTTCTCTGGCTAGCAGATGCGCTCAGTGCGTGAACATCTTCCCGTTTGCTGGCGGAAGCGGTGTTGTGCATTCACCCGATGCCCATCCTTCGTGCAGCTGGTCCCGCCATCGGCGCAGAGGCCCTCGTAAGGCCTCAAACGGGAAGCAAACAGGAGAGGCACTTGATCCCTGACGCTGAGTGAAGGAGATGCAAGACACGTGAGCCGACTGCACGCGGTGTTTTCGAGCAGCGCTTGGGTCACCGGCTCTCAAGTTTCGCCTCTCCAGGGCATCCTGGAGGCTGATCTCAACTCGAGGAAGTAACGAGCAAAAGTCGAATCCAAAAGGACAGCTGCGTCAGTGCCACATCGAGGTTCTGAGTGCCGGGCTGCCTCTTTCAGGGTTGGCTTCTCCAGCTGCGTGGAAGCGGCTTCGATCGATTGGCACAGGAGTTGAGCCAGCCTTGAGGGCTACTGCTTCTCGCTCTCATTATCATTTGCCTGTATCCATAGTCGCCCAGGTATACTCCCACTGCGCTGCGATAGCTGCGGTGCTCGGGAGAGGGCATCGTGAGCAAAGGAGAAACGGATCTTGATGTGGCCGCCTTGAGAGAAGGAAGGTTTTGGTCATGGATTGTTCGCGGCAGTTGACCGCTGGACGCCTCGAAAGGTGACCGGAGCAGTGCAGCGGCTAGGAAGTAGACGGCAGTGGCTGGATCCTGGAGTGCTCTCAAGGTCTGGTGACTGCAAAACGAGCTAACAACTCAAAGCTACATTGTCACACACATGATTCCAACCTAACTCGGCTATTGCAGCGCCGGACAGCATTGGCTGTTTCTGTTTGCAAGGCAACCATTGAGATGCGGACACCCTCAATGGATGCGTAGCCCAGCTGCTCCCTGGCACGATCAGAGTCTCACCAACATTGCAGGGGATGATGGGACTTGGAAGTTCACATGTACGTCGTTCGCAGGGGGGGGGGGGGGGGGGG